CCGGCACAGGAGACTGACGGAAGAACTTGTGCGATTCAAGGCATCTATAAGTTCTCTAACCAGGTAAGTGCCGTGGGGATTGTTTTGTTTTTGATTTACTTCGCTCTATGATCGGTCCAGAAAACTCGGGCCGCTCTCTCAACCAATCAGATGTAAAACTAAAACCAATCACGGCTTGGTCACCTGCGTTTTCCCGCGCTTTAGGTAGTTTGGTTGTTTTCCCGCGCTTTAGGCAGTTTGGTTGGTTTTACTTTGAGCTCTCATTGGCTCTTAAAGGTATTTTCCTGTCTTTAGATTGGCCACTGTGATTACTCTGGTTTTGGTTGTACGACACTCAATCGAAAAAGCGCCCTACCATCAACAACACTCAATGAAAAGCTTATTTATAATTTGTCATTTATGTCTCTATTGACAGTGAGCTTGCCTCAGTCAAGGCTCATGATCGAGAAGTTACCCGACAGGCTAAACATGCCCAAGAAGAGGTGAATGACAACAAATTCTTTTTGCTACATTTTGAGCATGAAAATCGAAAATTTCATTCATAAAGCAATTCGAGCAAAATAACTATTGACGTGTCTCGTTTGGATTCTATTTTAGCTACACGGGGCCCTTGAGGAATCTGATAAAAACGCAAGGTAAGTTTCATTGGTCACACAGTTAAAGAAACCTGGGGCCCGTTTCTCGAAAGTCCCGGTAACTTAGCGGGCCCGAGGCCATGTTTTAAAATAAAATTTCAAAGGATATAAAAGCAGGTTCTGGCCCCCAAACCACTCCATTTTGTTTCTTTAGTCGATGGTTTCATTTTGTTGTTTTCAAGACTTTTGAAATTCCCATCCTGAATGAAAACAGAACCGCTTTACGGGTCCGTTAAGTTACCGGGACTTTCGAGAAACGGGCCCCTGCTGGTAACTGGAGTTGGAATCCATACGAAATTTAAAGGGGTCTGAAGTTTACGAAATTTCAGACCTCGAAACTTCAGACCCCTTGAAAAAAGATTGAAATTGTAAACGCAGTCCTACATGAATGAATATTTATTTACGATAACTGACTAACCCCAAGTGTCAAGTCACGCGACAATCCTGCGTTGATAATTGGAGACAGCTTGGTAAAAGGTTTCCTGTGTTTTTATTCAAAACAAAAACGAGAACGACAAGAACAATGGCAAACTTGTTTCACTTTCTCGGGTGTAATCTCTGAAAAAAGGAAACCATGAACTCCTCGGACAGTGCAACGATCGATGTCCTACATGTTCAGTACCAGAATAAATGTTTTCTGTACACTTGTCTTCTTTAATCTTCTTTAATGGTTATACTCCCAAATCAGTGAGAACTATACTATGAACCTCTCGGAAATATCTGATAATTTAGATCCGATATTTCAAGTCGCGAGAAATCACTAACACTCACACATACAGTGTCGGTGCTGACAGAAAATTGTCG